TATGTATTCCATTTGCAGGGGACAACTCATGCCCGTCCTCCCCTCGCTCCGAATCGAAAAACTCACACCCCTTGAATGACACACTTCCAGGGTCGAGCCCCGTCTGTCAGGAAGTTTGATGAAGCCAACAATACCCAAAAACGAACAGGAATATCAAGCTCGTGATACACTGAACCAAAAAGATAGAAATAATTTCTTTTTTAATTAAATAATATTTTCTTTTGGGAACTTTTTTCTTTTTTTTGCAGTTTATTGAAAAAAAAAACATGTTGACAAATTATTTTTGTATATTATTATTTACTAAGCCTCTCTTTTGTACCTTATCGGCAAAATTGAAAAACATGAATTTTTGAGTTAATAGGATTTAAGTGCATTTTACTATCATTAAACAGTTTTAAGGGCATTATTATTTACTGTTTAGAAAAACCGATTTCTACAGCAAATGGTCATTTGGTTGAACACTGAAAATGGTTGACACTGAAATGGTACGTCTTAAGAGTACACAAGTGACTTAAGTGTTTATTTTTCACTGTGTAGAGGGTCGAGCCTTCCGAATCGGTGTGATTGAACGCTTTCAAGGATAATTGTCAACAGCAGCGGCTTCAGGAGGAAGCCGAAAAGCAAGAAAACAAAGCCGGTGGAATGGCTCTTTGTTCTCTCCGATCAGCATAATAATAATTTCAATAAGCAAAGTGCGTTCGCTTGTAGGCGTTGCTGGGGGCAGAATCAGTATAAAAGAAAGAGAGGGGTGTACAAGCGGAGAAAGAGACGGGGCGAACTGCTCCGGCAAGTGACAATCGCGGAAGTAAACTGCTGCTGACGACGTGATTTCAGCTGTTAAAATTCGCTGTCGTTATTAACGTGTTCCACAGCAACGTGGCCCAAATGCAAAAACAACACTCAAATTAAATGGTTAAAAATACTTGCTACGCATTTGGAGCAGTCATCGGCAAGAGCCACAAAAACAACACAAATAATAACAAAAAGCGAGTGTCTGAGCCGATAAGATAAGGCCGCCAAAGGAAATGAATCAAGCTAGGGGGAAAATGTGAAATCCAAGGCAAAGAAAATCAAACAAAACAAAAACAAAGCAAAGGCGAACTAGATTAATTCTATGTTTATCTTAAAACATATTCTTTTTTTACTCTAAAGATCTTTCCAATGAGAGTAATCCCAGCTTATTTATAAATACCATAGATTCAAATTTTTGAATTTATGATTGACCCTTGCCCAACAGGATGAATAAATTAAACGTCAAATTGACAATTTAAATTATAAGAATCACCTGTTTTTAATAATTACCTAATTAATTTTTGTTTAATGTATAAATTCTTTGTTTGATATGTTATCAGTCAATTTTTTTCCATTTTCTGTACAAATCATTTTGTAGCGTTTATTATTTTTTGAAAAAACGTTTTCGGGGGTAAATTTAAATACTTTTGAATAATTTTATTTTCTTAACTAAGAAATCTTAAAAAAAATAATAATACTGAAGAGTTAAATAAAGTCTAAATATTACTTGGCAAAATAGCATTATATAAGGAGAATAATTCCAGTTTATACGGCCTTCGGTTTATCTAATTGCAAAGTCAACAATAAGTTTTTTTAATTGCTAAGACATAAAATATACATGGTTCATAGCCGTCTGGCAGGAAAGTGTTTTTCGAAAGAGAATTATTCCAGTTAATTTACATGTCCCTCGGCTGAACCAATTTCCATGTCACGTATAATTTGCTGAAACGCGAGGCCCAAGTACATACAAAATATGGCTGTGCTAAACTTAGAATCAAACACACACTAGTGGGACTTGCACAATCGTACTAAATAATAAACACCCACGAGTATGAAACAATGCAAAAACGGGGGCCAAGTGAGGCTTCAATGCAACAGCGCCAATTGCAGTTTGCCAGTTTGTGTTTCTATTTAATTTCTGTTTCTATGGCGGTGTGTGCCAATGTCAAGCTGCCTCTTTGGATGCCAGGCCGAACCGAAGCTTAAGCCCAATCCCAAGAACTTTGGTTATGCAAAGACTCTTGCAGTCGCAAAAGTTTCCGATCCGAAACGCCCACAATCGCCTAGCCGAACATATGTATTTGTTATTGTCTTACGTCAAGACAAGACATTCAGCTAGTTTCTAGCAAAATAGCTTTAAGTCACTAAAATAACATGTTTCTTATCAAAAATATTTATATTTTAACTCTCACTATCTGCCACAATGAAACGAAAAGTAAGATATTAGTTCGGGTACGAAAGTAAAAAACTGGAGAATATCTATTCTCTGTTGCTAAAACGATTTGAAGCTTTAAACACATTTTTAAAGAGAGTTTAAAATACTGGGATCTACTTGATGAAGATTTTTTTCGGTATGCTTAAAAATTATTTTGAATTTGATTTAGTTTATTAAGCCTGGTTAACGGTTTTTCATTTTTATTTTACAAGCTTTACTTTTTGTTATGTAGGCAAAAAAAACATATTTTTGCTATCCATATAAACAAAATAAAATTAATTGCAATAGTACGTTTAAGTTAAATTTTCAAATAAAAATGTTTCTTAGTTATGGAATAGAGAAAACAAAATTTCAAAATCCAAAATCTCTCCAATAAAAATATAAAATTTTACTATGAAAATATGTATATTTTTGTATGTTTTTTCATGTTAGTTTCCCACAATCCCCAAAATTTTGCTTCTTTCTAGCCAGATTTTGGTATTGGGCCCAACAGCACCGTTGGAGAACATGCGCGTGTTCGGCTTAGTAGAGAGCGCTTGTGTGTGCGTGTGTGTAAGTGAGCGAGAGAATTTTATTGATTAGTCACAAGGCTAAATAAACTACCGAGTTTGTTGAGCAGCTGAGATTTCTAACAACAATCAAAATAAGAATATCGCAACTTTCCAATTGGACAGCCAAGTGTAGGTGGAGTGTTAATTCCCGAAACGAAACTCACCTTTAATTGCGCCAAATTGTTGTCCCTCGCTGCGTTGAAAACAATGAATTTGTAATCCATTTTGTGATTCAATTAAATGGCATAAATGCCGCAGAAAGTCGCTCGCTGAAAATTAATTATTTTCCTTATTGTTTGGCGGTGAAAAATATTATTTTGTTATTTCGCTTTGCTTCTTTCTCCGCCTTCGTCAAGTGAGAGGAGAGAGCGAGAGAGAAAGAGAGCGTGTGGGAGAGCGTCGAGATTCTTGAGGATGCTGTTGTTGTTGTTTTTATTTTTTGTCTGCCTTTTTTCCTAGTAATTTATTTTGATGTGTGGTCGATTTTCTGCACAAAAGAAGAACTTTCCAACCGAGCGAATATATAATATGTAACGATTGCGTTTTCGCCGTACTTTTTATTGCTTCCGTGTCTTCCTGGCAATCGAATTACCTATCTGTTAGCGCACTTTTCATTCGCCTTTTGTATTTTGGTTTGGGTTTGCCCTCAGGAAGACGAAAATTTCTTTCTTTTACTGCGTTTCGATGTTGATTCCGGGTCGTTGGATATCTTAATTCTTGCTCTCTAGGGCGGTTACTAGAGCATTAAACACACTTTTTCCGATTCGATTCGTTGCGATTCCACACTATTCAGCACAAACTTAAATCCCTTTCCGTGTTTTTCGAAAACTCGTCCGACAGCCAGGAAAGCAGATCGATGGTCTGTGAAACTCTTTGAAATCGCTCACGAAGAGGCGCGCTGTTTGAACCGTCCCGCCCGCGATTTTGCGACAAATTAAATTCCAAATAATTGTCAAATGGTCAGTGTGGCCGCGTAGCAATAAGAAAAATATACCTTTTAAATCATTTGCACCTTTTTTTTAATACCATAAATATACCACCAAGTTTTCGATTTATTATGAATTAGGGGAATTCAATCAGCCAGGGATGCATTTTTTTTTATCAACTTTTCAAATGCTCATTTTTTTATTTAAAATTCATTGTAAGTTGAATTAAGGCAAGCATTATAAACTTGTATATAGGCCAATAATTATTTACATGTTTAAAATACTAAAATACTCTTGGTAATGTATGGCATTAGTGTCCTTAAGTACAACAGATTAACAGTTTAGCAATTTATAACCCATACTTTATTTTGAACGAGGGCTTCCGTTAAAAATGGGTAGTTGGTATTGAAAATATGTGAAAAATGAATGTGTATAAGGCTACGTTTAAAAACTGTAATAAGATAATAGAATCAAAACCCCCTAAAATGTACAAACTCCTTAAGGGATCCTGTGAAAAAACACATGGCTTATTGGAGACCGTTATCCTGTGAAAAAACACATGGCTTATTGGAGACCGTTATCCGGGGCTTGATTATTTTTCATATTCATTTCAAATCAAATAACCGCTGTTTTCCTACAGCAATACAAGAAGACTTGCTAAGTGTAAACGGTAATATTCGCGTTAACCCCTATATTTATAGAAAGCTATCGCTAGTGTAAATGAGCTATTATAGCTAGTTTCGTAGCAAGCAGCAATAGTCAGTAAGCCCTGACGGCGGATTGCTAGGCAACAAAGATATTTAAATTATTTCCTACGCTCTCTCTGGATAAAAACCAATTGTTGCGGTTTTTTGGTTTTTTTTCTGCTTTATTTCGAATAATTTACAACCTTAATCAGCATACTGAAAATTTTAGTAGAAGAAACAGAGCATCGCAAATATCTTTATTTTAATGACTATGAACAATACCCGACAAATAAAAAAGAATACTATTAAATTTAAAATTCACGATAAAAAACATATTATCAAATTTGTTATTTTAAGAGTTCAACTACTACAGCCAGAAAAGAAATTGATATACCCTTGCAGCAATTAAAACGTGTATTATTCTGTAAAACGACTTTATCTTTACGACTTTACTTTACCGACGATTTGAAATCGTAAAAGAATATTTGCCCTTTATAGTGATATACCTTTACTTTTCAAATTGAAACTCAAAGATATCCTAAGATTTTGGCAAATAAAAACGGATATACCCATGATAATCTCATAGGTTTTGTATAGAAATAATGGCATACATCGATCATGCGGATTTTTATTTTACTTTGGTTTATTTATTGAATTTATTCCATACAATTTCATATGCATTTTTGTTTTTTTTTTTCTCATTAAATCATAAACAGTTACATTGTTTTACATTGTACATTTGATTATGTTTTACTTAATATGTATTATTATTTTAGTTCATATTTGTATATTTCTTGTTTGTATATATTTTATATGGTTATGTTTATTATGCATATGTGTGTGCTTGATTCAACAGAAAATTTTCAACAAAATGAAAACAATTGTTCATCGATTAGTTATATATTAAACGGATTATTCTTGATTTTCTGCTTCCCTTGATTAATAATTAATTGTATTCAATAATTAGTTAAAGCTACAACTTAGTGCGCATTCTTGTACTTCACCAACAACTACAACAAAAGGTATGACACATAAACAATAACAAAAAAGTTGATCGTTTTTTAACAACAACGAATATATAAAATAATCATGTTAAAACATTTGCTGTTAAACAAAGAAAATGTAAAAGTCTATTTTCAATAATTAATTTTTTTTTATTTTTACTTTTACCATTTTTTATATCACAAGTTAAAATTTTGATTATTGTTTGGTCAATTTTATTATAATATTTATAGTACTTGTATATATATGATATTAGGTATGTGTGTAAATTATTTACATAAGAAAATATACTAATACCATAATTTAATAAACATATTTCCGTTAGATTTCTCATATAAATTGGTCTAGATAATCAAGTCATGGTGTTCCATTAAATTGGTTTGGTATACAGAGCAGTACTAACGATTCGAGAGTGATATTTGTATAAATATAGTTAAAATAGTTGATTTTTAGGAGATTACATAGAAATTCGAGTTAGTTGCATGCGTTAATGTTGAGAGATTTTTGTTTGTTTGTTTAGAATTATAAATCGTCTTTATATTTAAGAAATATTTTATTTGAAGATCGTAGCGATGTGGTGGCCTTCACTTAGCGGTAAGGGATATATTTTTCGATATGGTACTTAGGATTATATAGAGCTTAGGTGGAAAAAAAATTAACAAATTTCGTAAGGCACACAAAAACTTAAAACATTTTTAAATGACCTCACATAAAAAGGTAAATTAAAGTAACCCTTTTCAGCTTAAACTGAATAATAAAAATGTAAGTTATTTTTAAATGAACCTACAATAAGTTTTTTAATAATTCCAACATTGGAAAATGATCTGATTGCATGGTTTTTTTATTATAAAAAAGCCTATAATAAAAAGGAAATCATAAATGCCTAGAAAACACAAAAAAAAAGTCTACTTATATCTTCTTTGTAAGCAAGTTTTCTCTCAATAGGCTCAAATCCTACAAATTCAGATATGCAACTTTAGCTTTTTCTCACAATACGATGTGATATGTAAATTGTTAAATTCTATCCCTAACACCAACTAGTACAATCCACCATAACGTCTACGATCTCCTCGTTTGAGCTTCCACATTCCAGTTTCGATATTAGTCGCAGGTGAGTATTAAGCGTGGCTAAGCCTACAGAACCATCAGACCATCGACTCTCTGACGCGGCCCTTAACCTGTAAATTAGTTTCGAGAGACACTGTATTTTAGGACATAGTCGTATTTGTGGGTGCATATGTTTGGGGTTCGATGCACAAATCTAGACGTAGGTGGTGTAGGGGGATTTACACATAGACAGACGAGCGTGCGATATGTCGGGATTGGATGGGCTGCCATCTGGGTCTCCACTTCCGTTCTCCGTTGCCGCAGCTCCGTTTGCTTCTCCCTCCATCTCTCTGGGTTATGGGGAAAATACGCGCAGGGATCGCAACAGAGTGGCCAGGACATTGGCCAGACACTCGGCCTGCAGGGCCAATTGTCCTGCCCCAATGGGTCCGATCTCCACGCCCACCAACTCCCTGAAACTGCTGGCCACATCGTGCACCTTGAGCACTATATTCCGCGTTTGCAGCGGTGCCGAGGTGTGTCTGGTCATATCCTGGGCCAGCTCGGTGATCCTCCGAATCGCAGTCAGACAGGAGGTCAGGTGCTCGGGCAACGTAATCAGTGTCATGTCCGACATGGAGGCCACCAGGAATTTACTAGCAGTCACCAGGGCCAAGGTCTGCTCGGTTAGCTCGTTCCTGGCCCGCTGGAACTTCTCCTCGTCGATGGAGGTGCCTCCTCCCGCCGCCTGGGCCACCGAACACTGGGCGGCCACCTGGTCCAACTTGATCAGCAGTCCGGCCATGGCCACGTCCGTTTTGCCCAACAGCGCCTCGCCATCAATTAGGTGACCATTCTTGATGAACAACTTCTCGCCATGCAGCTGCTGCGGTTTCTTGGGGAGCATGGGGAGGGTTCCATTGGTCTGGTTCAAGTGGGGCAGACGAACGGTGGCCGGTATGGGTGGTGAGTAGTGGGCAGGTGGTGCAGATCCGGGTGATGATGTGGTTGGAGAAGGATTCACCCCGTTCTGGGGACGCGGGCGATTTGCGATCGGCGGCAGCGGGGGTTTCTTGGGGCCACTCACCAGGTTTGTGGGATTGCTCTGGTTGCCGTCCGGCGTGGGACTTCCCCTCGGGGGCAGTTGTGGGGACAGCCCAGTTCCCGCCGCTCCTGCGGCTGCATCACTGGGCTGCCCGCAATCCTCACCTGCTTCTTGGGCGAGTAACGCTGCAGTAGTTCCGCACTTTTCGGTGGTCTCACCGGCGGAGGCGACAGCTGCTCGGAGGTGGGTGTCCTGGGCGGTGGTTGCAATTCCTCTGGATCCGGCAGCTCCTCCTTTTTGCTGGTGGGACAGCAGCTGAACTTGCTCTTCCTCTCCACGGTGGCATATTCAATTACGTGGGGCGAGTGACTACTGCTGCCATTGTTTCCATTGGCCACCGATTGGAAGAACTCCCTCTTCGCCTGAACCGAATTGCTGTACAGGCACTCCGTTTCCATGGTCACGGGCGCACTCACCACTTGCTGCTGCTCCAGATTCGGGGGTGGTGGTATTATAAAGGACATAATCTCCTCGGGTGTGAGCTCCTTGGCGGGTGTGGCCTTCTGGGTGGGTGGTGCCACCATTATCTGCTGCAGGAAACTGTCCAGCTCCTCGGCCTTGCCCTCGAATCCTTTGGGGGGAGCCGCATTCATCAGGGACAGGGAGTCCAGCTCATCGGGCGTCTGAGGTGGCGGAATGGCACGTAGATCTATTAGATCCGTATCGGTTTCTATGAAGGTGTCCTCCCTCACTTCGAAACCATAAATCTCGGATAGCTGACGGGCAGCCACATCTGTATCCGCATCTGCCGCATTGCTAATCTCCTTCAGCTGCTGCAGATACTCCCGAAGGTTGTAGTCCTTGGTCTCGGCACCGAAATGCGTGCCATCGGGACTGTGCAGCCCGAAACTGCTCCTCTGGGAGAGCTGCTGTTTGGCTGGCCCTGTTGCTTGGCCCGTTCCCATTGATCCTGCCGCCTGGAGCAGCATCATCTGCGGCCTCCTGGCCGTCGGCGATTGAGCCGGAGAGGCCACCGACTCCGAATCACTCTCGCTCTGCGAGAAATCCGTTCCCAAGGCCTGCAAATCACTCAACAGCTGACTGAAGCCATTGAGCTTCCTCTGCGGTCTCGGACTGGAAGTGCTGCACAGACTGGGCTTCCGCTTGGGCGTGGCTGGGGTTGCAGGAGCGGATGTGGAAACTGGTGCGGTTTCTGGAATGGCATTCAATCCTTGGGTTATGCCACTTAGTTCGTGGTTGATCGTCTCCGCCAGTAGTGTGAGCGAATCACTGTGTTTTAGAGGATGTCCTGCCGGAATGGCCACTCCTGGACCCAAAATTAGTCCTCCCTGCGATTCCTCTGTCGAGGAAACCTTACTGCTGTTGAGACTATCGCAATCCGAGTCGAATTCCAGCATGGCCACGCCTCCTCCGCCTCCACCTCCGCACCCACCGCCCTGCTCCTGTTCACTCAAATATTGCTCGGAGGTCTGGACCAGATGCTGCAGCTCCTGCACCCTCCTCAAGACCTGCTCGTTCTTGGCCTCCAACTTTTGGCTGCCCGAGTGACTGCGTCCTTCGCAGTAGTTGCTGCCACTGCTGTCGCTCAGACCCGAATCCTTGGCTGCCTCCTCCAGCAGCTCGGTGGCCATCACACTGTGCAGATCCAGATCCATGGCGTAGGGCAGCGACGGAGGCGCCTGAACGGAGGACTGCTGCTGCAGCTGACCCCGTTGGACCAGCGGATGGTAGGGCGGCGCCATCAGGAAGTTGACGCTGTGCGCTCGAGTGTGGAAGGGAAGCAGGTAGCTCCATCCCGCCGGCAGCACTGTGTGCTGGGACAGAAAGCCGGGCGAGTTGTCCTCGTCATTGGGATCCCGCTCTCGCAGGATATTCAGCATGTTGCCTGCAGTCAGAGATTAATATCAACATTACCAAGTGTAAAACCCTAAACCACCTACCTGTTAGCAGTCGATAGTAGCCGCCGAGGACCAGACTGAACTCGCAGCCATCCCGATCCTCCATGATGAACTTCACAGCTCGATCGCCCAGCATGAATATGGATACGCTGCAGGTCACATCGTCCTCGCGATTAACCACCACATGGGTAGAAGTCCTCGATGGCGGAAATGGGTTGGGGCTGCTTGAAAACCGAGCTAAGTTATAGAAGATTCCCACACACAAGAGATTCGGGATTAACTCACCACCGAATTGCGGGCACTGGATATCTGGCTGAGTCCAAAACGCGGACTCACCAGCAGGACGCGCTCGACGCCCTCTCTTTGGTTTGTGCTGAAACATTTGGCTCCATAGCTTGGTAAGCTAGCGATTATATCTAGATAATGCAGTTTGGCCTACAAGGGACAGGGATTTTAATTATTTTCTATGAAATTTTCTTATAATAACACATTCTTTTTATTTAATTGGTTAATAGTTTCATTAAGATATAAATCTCCTTTACTATTTGAAATTCATAAAAATTTATGGACTTTATCATATAGCTGCAATAGTAACGACCGAAAAATGTATGGAAAAATATACATAACTCTATTGTTTTTAAACATATGCACATAAAAACCGTAAATAGTCTCTCTAAAGAATATTTCATGTTTGTTATAGCAGCAACGGCGTAGACACTTCAGATTGCATTCTTTCTTCTTAAAAAATCCCATTCTTTTCGTTTATTTAGTTAGTTAAAAGTAACTTTTCAAAATCAACAAAAAGAAGAGTTAAGTTAAATTTGTTATTTTTTCGTTATGATGTATAAATTTTAAGGACACCCATTAAAAGCAATGCCTTTTTTTAAGTTCTTATCCAGTTTTGAACTCTTCTCATCCCAAGTGAAAATTATAAGTTAATCTGCCCACTTTTTTGTTCAGTTTTGAATACTTTAAGCTACTTAGCTCACCTGCAGCTGTGTGAGAACCTTGCTGGAGGATCCCGTCATCTCGGCGTTGAGCTTCAGGAAGTGTGAAATCAGCCGTCGCAGTTCCTTCCGCTTCATGCCCTCGAACAGACTCACTGGTACAAACCGCTCCAGCCCGAACTCGCGTCTGAAAGGAGTCGAGTATGTAGTATGTATAGAGGGCCTGAATCTTGGGGATTCAGCTTAACTTACTCGACCAGTTTGACGGTGAGCTTGGCGGGAGCAAAGTTGTTGGCCAGGGCGTGCTGGTGCATGTGGAGGGCGGCCAATCGGAGGGCCAACTCCGGCTGCAGCTCGGGAGCGAATCTCTCCTGGTTGACATCGTTGCAGCACTGCAAGTACAGGTAGTCCAGGGCGTGAAGATCCCGCTGAGCCAGTTCCGCCGCCGAAATGGGCACGAAGGTGATGCGGAAGAGACACCTCAGCTTGTGCGCCCCCGGACGAGCAGCAATCTGCGGCAGAAAACAGGCGGATACTCCAAATTCAATAAAAGTTTGTCATTCATAGTTTATTCAGTTATCCTCACCCTGGCCAGCGACTCCTGCGGATCGAGGAGGGTGAGCTTGTTCCGCTTGAGGCTCTTCACGTGCTCCAGCACCAGGCTGAAGAGCTCTCCGCAGCAGAGGCAGAGCTTGTCCAGCAGCGAGCTGACCACATCCTGCACCGTGGTGGTGGCGTCGTACTTGAAGGACTTGGTCTGCCCGTTCTCGAGGAACACCTTCAGCACATTGGCCATCGGGGGCACGCAGATGTCTCCCAGGGAAAACGCCGAGGGCTAAAAGAAACGGAACAAATGGAAGTCACTAAAGAAAACTAGTTGAAAAACTTCCTGTCACAAATCGAATCTAGTCTGGCTTTGTAAAATGTCCTAACCAAAAGGACTCTCAAAAATAGTATTTGTTTAGTAACTTTTATTTGTGTTTATTGTGTTTATTTGCCTATTCATCAACACTTCTCACTTTTCTTCATCAAATTCGAAGTCCTTTTCGCTGGTTTGATGTTGAAAGGAAATTTTCTGCTCGTTGAAGCATTTTCTTGACCCGAAAGTTATTTATTGACACGGCGTACTCCTGTAGAGATGAAGTGCTCATAGCCTCTTCCGTGTTTCTGATAGATAAATCATTTTCAAATCCTGAATATTCGGCTTTGTTATCTACATCTACATTGTTTTGTGGTTTTGTTGCCATTTTATTGTTTTTTCTGCTTTTTTGTAGCTCGGTTTTGCCGCCAGCCTTCGTCTTGAGTTTGCAATTTGGTTTATTTCTGGGTTTGGATTGGCTAATTGATGGTTACCCTTAGATAACTTCCTTCCTAATTGCACCACTCCCTTATCGATCACTGCCTAGTAACAAACCGCGGTCAGGAACCGCAAAAAAGCTAAAATCTTGTCTGCAACTTGGGTTTTATTTCACTTCAAATACAAAATTCTTGTTTTTTTTAATTTTAAATCTAATTGGGAGTATTGTCGATTGTTAGTTATAAAACAAAATGAATTCCACTTCCACTTAGACAACTAGGATAATATCTCGCGCATCTTTAAATTTAACTATTTGTTTAATGTATATTCATAGCCACATTTGTTTTTTCCTTGTATATAGACATATTTAAATTTTTATTTCAAATATACTCATAAAGAACTCAAAACATTTAAATGCAAGAAATTGTTGAAACACGGTGTCAGAAAAAGATTTGGTGTACTATTTCATCTATGCCACTTATACTTGTAATGTTAGACCTCGGAAAGAAGAAAAGAAAAGAAAAACTCACCGGAAACAGTGGTGCTCCATTGACGCACACACTCTCGGCGAACCTTACTCGACTAGGACGCGATCTCAGCTTGGCTCGTTTTCCCGCGGAGAGGAGTGTGGACTTCCTGCCCGGAAGGACGCAGTGCGCCATCGGCTGGCAGACGAAGAGATTCACCTGCGACTCACAAGCTCGCACCAGCTGAATGACATGATCCCGCGGCGCATCCTTCACATCCTCCCCGTTCACCGCCAGGATCTGATCGCCCGGCTGCAGTTTTCCGATACTGGGACCACCCTCCGTCACAAATCTCACGATTACGGGCCTTTCACTGCCGGCCACGAATCCAAATCCTAGGCTGGCATTACGTTGGAGTTGGACCTGCCGTGGTTCTGGTGGATGCTCATCCCAGCGTATGCATTCGGGGGCCTCGTAGGTGGTCGTTTTGTTGAGGTGGCTAGTTGTGGAAAATAATCGAGTTTTATAAGAGTTTATTATTTGGTAATATTATAGGGAACTCACTTGATATAATAGGAACGACCCTTGGAGTCTATGGCACGCTCCCAGCCATAAGAGAGCTCCTCGTGTTTGCTCCAATCCTCGCAGGCAGGCAGCCAACCAGCGGATTGCGTCATGTGACTGAAAAGTTAATACAAAAAATATATTAAATTAATTAAATATTGAACAAATATAAGATATTATTATTAAAAGGGAAATTTACAAATAAAATTATACATTACAAACTTATTTCTTGTTCTAATCCAACACAATTTATTATCTATAAATTTGAATTGTTATCTTTCGTTACTAAAGTGCATATATGCACTTACGCTAGTGGTAATATAATACAAATAGAAAACCATTGGTCAAATAATGACTTTTGAATGAGAATGTGTCAATGGAACCCCGGTTGATGATTACTAGTGCTCAGTCGGCTGTCAGCTTCGATTTGTAATACAATATAGTGAAAAAGCATATTGTATCTGTATTGATTACGAACCGCAGAAAAATGCAGTCTAAATGTAACAATCAAATCCAGCAGTGTCTTTTCATTAATGATTCATAATAAATATGAGGAAAAGCTTAAATCTTTTTGGTTAGTTTCGCTTTACTTTTTTTAAGCCATTAAATAAAATAAAAACAACTAAAATTACAATTTAAATAATTTCTGGTGCGTAAGAGTGTTGAATTTGGCACCTATTTCATATGGTTATCAAATGACGTCATGCAAATAATGGAAAATAATTTTGTGTCGCATTTGTGGTTATATTCTGAATTTAGCTAGCTTACTTATTTCAGTGCTGTCTTCTATTTATAAATCATGCTAGAGTCCGCCCACTTGCACTTGACCCTCCACCCACGTTGACCCTGAACTTGCGGTCAACTCTTGGCGCACCACCTCCACTTCCTCTGGCAACCTATTTGTATCCCAACCAAGCACATCAGCAAGCAAATGATTGTTTGTCCCTGTGGGTGCGCTAGAAATGCATTTCAATTGACATTAATCAGAGCTAATTGGGTTATTTGCTCGACTTTGCAATAAACAGCAACACATAATCGGGCTGCAGAACTAAAACTAAACCTAGCCTCAATCCACACCCTATTCAAAAGCAACTACAGTCAAACTTCTATAAAATGAATATAAATTAAGTTTAGGAATTTCGTATGACACAATTTAGTTAAGAAAAACATATTATTTGTGTTTTGACTGGCGCTATTAATATAAGTTTTTACTTGTCGTCATGGAAATATAAATATATTTTTTTGTTCGATAAAATCCAAACTTCTGAGGTATTTGGACCAACAAAAATTTAAATAAATCAAAAATGTAGGTCCGGCTTTGGATTAAAAATTTGTCTTGTAATCCCTTAACTAATTCTTTTTTATCCGATACTTGATTCAAGTTGTCAATCTCGAGTGAAACTAAAATAAGAACAATAAGATTGAATAAAGCACTCCGTTTTTAAAATGAAAAGCCAAAAATGTAATAGTTTATGGTTTGCTTTAATGCAAGGCTATTATTGCACTCCTTTAGTTGGCTTGACTTGACTGAAGGTATTGCGCACTCAACCTCTTGTAGTATTAGATTTATTGATCCGAAAACTTTATATAAATAAATAAATCCAAAATAAAATTCAGAACATGGGAAATTATGCAAGCTCAACTGTGGAATCCAAGCCAGATCCCGAGCCCCAGAGCGAAACCCCAGCTAAATCCAATTGCGGCCCACACCAGCCACCTTGGTGGCTTCCGTTGCTGTCTTTCTTCATTTCCTGACTGCACACAATTGTGATAATTAGTTTTGCACTTTTGCACACCCTCGGAGAGCAGAGGATGGGGGCGGGAATGGGATTCGGATAGGGTATGGGTATGGTATGGGTATGGGTATGGGTATGGAACCCAACCAGCGCTGCTCACTCATTCAGTCTATCGCCCCAGTGGCAGTCCCCATTTCCCCCGCCCCCTCTTTCTCCAACCCGATTATGGCATTTTGTGCGCTTTCAGTTTGATGTGCAACAAAGTGTAAAATTATTTAATAGAATTCTGTGCATAATCAATTTATGTGCAGCAGAGAGCCCAGCATTCAGTAGCCCATTCAGCGTCCTCGGCCACATCCAAGCCATCTAACCGGGCCAGGACCAAGTCCGTCCGACAGTCCGCCAGTCCGTCAATCTGGCAGTCCGTCGGTTCGTCAGTGGGCCAAGCATAGAAATGCTGAAACTTTAACCAAGCTAATGGCTATATAAATGTCGGACTTTCTGCTTTGTTTCATATTCCCTTTTGTGCGTAGCCAGCGGTTTTTAAAAACCACTTACGAAAGTTTACCACAAATAATAAATGTTGCTGTAGCAAAGGTCAAAAATGGTTATTTTTATGCATACATAATTAAAGTATGTCCTCAAGCATTACAACAACATTTACGAAGTGCCTAAGTCTTTTCAGCTTTAAAGGATGCCTAATTGGCGTAGACCATAAATCATTTAAAATTTCTCAAAAGTTCTGAGAGGATTTCTAATTGGCAATGAAAATAAATCTATTTTGTTCAGCAGTAATTTAGCAGAGGTTGAAACTTTATTAACCAGCAAATTAAGTTGCATATATTGTAGTAAAACTTGAAATTGAAATGTTATAACTGACATAATAGAGATTACTCTATTATGCTATTTCTTAATAAGTGTTATAATTATAAGGACTATTATTATTACTATTATTCCATTTCATAAGTGTTAGATTTATACTCAGAAAACTCTTGGAATTTAAACATTACATTTAATAAATGAAACCAAATGGAATCTTGGGAAGTTACCCTAAAACTCCTACTCACTTGCAATAGTAGAGCCTGCCCTCCTTGCCCACATGAACGCTCCAGCCGGGCTTGAGCTTCTCCTGAATGGCCTCCAAGTGTCCATCAATTTCTGGCCAATTTCCGGCCACGCCAGCAATGACACCCCCATGACTTTGACCCAGAAGTGGCCCATAGATCCCGGTGCCATTGCCAGTGACAGTCCCAATTCCTAGCTCTGTTGTTGTGAGCGGCGCCTCCGTTCCGGTGGATGTTGCAGATGTGGCTGGTGTGGCTGTTGCTATTGATGTGCCCGTTGTTGCTGCGATTCCGGAGGATTGGGGCTGTGGAAATCCGTTGGAACGGGTGGGCGTGGCATGGACAACGGAGCCATTTGTTGTCGGCAGTGTTGTCAATTGCGGCGATGATGTTCGTGTCAGTAGCAAGGGCTTGGGCTTGGATGTTGCTCCTCCGGCTCCGCCTCCGACCCCAGTTCCTCCTCCTGATCCCCCTCCAGTTGCTGCTCCTCCGGCCGATGTTGCTGTTGTGTTGGCGGAATTTTGTAGCGGATAGACATCACTATTCGAACGCCCCGAAGGCAGTAACATCATTGAAACACATTCGCTGCAAAGAGAAGTGGAAAAGAGGGGAGGGAACATTAGTCAAGTTGTTGTCGGACGATTTTCACACATTGTTCGGGCCACAAATCACATTCCATTCCAAGACCGAGTCCAAGACCAAGACGACCGACCCACTTTGCCTGCAAACAGGCTCCTCCATAATTCAACATCCAGCTAACAGACCGAAGACAGACCATTGGCATTGCCTTTTCTGCTTTTCTGCTTTTCTGCCCGAGTCTGGACAAAAAACAGGTCCCCCATAACAGACATCCCCATTACCATGGTCATCATCGTCGTGATCATCGGCAATGGTGGGATAGGTTCAGGTTTTAGGCCAACTTGTTTTTAATGTTATGACACAATTTTCGATTTGCTTTTACTGTTTGGTTTCGTTCTCTCCTTTTGCATAGGTTTCCTCCTTTATTTGGCAATCGTGCAAACATGGATTGGCCATGGCTTACGGAACTGGTTCCGAAATGAGATCAAATTGTTGGCATTGTTTCGGGAAATAGAGCTCTTGGTCAAAAAATCAGCAGGAGAAGGGATTGAAATAGCGACCGATTTATTTCGAATTACAATTAAATTTAGGGCAATTATTTTCCCATTGAATATGTTATAAAACAATACTTTAGGAAAGCATTAGTTATTAAGTTTCACTTTTGAAACAAAAATAATTATATAATCATAAGTACTCAAAAAGAAAAGATTATTGTTAATGGAAATAATAGTTTTGTATGTAATAAAAATATGTAATTTGTAAAATTACATGTCTGGTTATTAGTTCTCTCAAACACAATCTGATGAAATAATAGACGTCAAAGAAAATGCAACCAATTCGTTTTGTACAAATCCATTGAAGCGTTGCCAAAGAATTTACCAATCCCGCCCACATTGTTTACACTGTCCAAACTCTTCAATAATATCAAAGAGCATTTGCATAATGTTTAGATTTCAACGCCACCGACAGCATTTCGGCTTTTGGCTCTTACATGGTTCAGTAAATGGCTTGCAAAAAGATTTTTTAAAATTTATTCCGCACCGGAAAGGCAGGAGTAGTGCAGGGATAAAACATGGATACGTCTGGCAGTCCGCTCTTGTGTGGGTGAGTGGCAATGGCCGATAGTGCGGCTAGTTGGAGGAGACCAAACAACAAGAATGGCAGAATGGATGTGTTTGTTTGCCTGCGCAATTTCACTCGGTGGTTTGGCTGGCGGAAACGGGGCGAAACGGAAGAGGAGCCCAAGTGGAGTGGCATACGGATAGATGCGACTTCAAAAAACTAGATACGACAGAGCCGAGCCAAACAAAGAGACATCCATTAGGCGAGCAGAGTCGAGCTTAGTCGAGTTGGGTCCACGCTGGAAATGGAAAAGGAGCAGCTGAAGAACTCATCTAGCTCCGTGATAATGACAGACGGGGAAAGAAAAAGAAATGGCTTCTGCACAGGAGAAAATAACGCTTTTCGTAATAATAATAAACAGATTGATATTATAAATTAAAAAAGAAAATCTGTCGAGCTGAGAAAATTTGAAAGCCAACATAAGCTTTTAAAACTAAATTGATTTTTGATTATGGCATTATAGTTTTGCGACCCTGACATACTTTTTAAGAAAATATTTTTACAAGTGTGTTCTGCACTTCACTTTTTGTTAAAGGAAATTTTAACTATTTTCAACAGATAGTCTTTTATCCTAAAATAAAATAACATTTTTACTCCTTTTAAATAAAAATATTTTAACATTCTTTGATTAAGAATGTGCACAACCATAATTCCTGGTTTATCGTTATCGGAGCCTTTCTGTGTGTTCTTTGATACTATAATTATAGAACATTTCTCAATATATATTTTTATGACATTATGCTGTTAATAGCTCTTCAGAATGTTAGTATTTAAGTTATAATAAGAGGTATTCACAATTTTTGCACAGTGGTAAACCAGGCGAGTAACGGCTTGGCAAACAACGGCAACCGGCCAGCGACATGGTCAAGTTCCTTCTCCGTCTTCTCATATGTATTTTTCTTCATTCTTCCTATGTGGTGCAAAAGTTTTATAAACAACTTCACAGACACACACTCAAGCACTTAAAACTGGAACACTTGAACAATGTTTTGAATTACATATTTTCTTTGTTTGGGAGTGGACCAAATAGACAAGTGCAAAAATGTTCATAAAGTTGTTCGTTCGTTTTTTTGTGCAATTTCTCGTTTTTCTTTTTCTGGGTTAGGAATGTTTGAGTACGGAATGTTGATTTGACTCAAGACAGGAACTGGCCAAGCAGTTGAACGGACTACCGAAAAGGATTCTTGGCAAAATATTTTAATTCAAATTAAAACCCATTTCATATGTAAATCCAAACAATATTTGCGTAAAATTAAAATTTAAATTTTTATCACCAGCAAGAAAAACTTTATGTTGTAGAGGTATAAAATAAAATATTAAATGTAGAATTAGACAACTGTTTTAAAAATATTGGAAAATTTAATGATGCCTGACTTAATTGTAGTACCAGAAAAAAATGGAGGTGGCTTTATCAATGGATAGTGGAGTACAGGAAAGATGAACGGAAATTTTACTGAAAAGCCAAAGCCTGCTTGACAAACAAAAAGCAATTTAAAACGAAGATCACACATTCCCCTCGCCCCTTGGAAAGAACCCACAAAATGGGTAAGAATTTCAGTTAACATGTTCAGAACTCTTAACTGTGCAAACATTTTCGCTATCGTCTGAAGCTTTTCACATCCAATCCAAGTGTAACCGATACGAAATACGAAAGCGGTTCCAGTTCGGGCCGCCCATACATTTGGACATCAAGTCCAAACACAAAAGTTGACAGGACAGAATGGGGGGGGGGGTGTCGGATGGGGCGGAGTGCCTATCAAGAAGGAGGAGGGGGTGGAGTTGGAGGCGGAGACCGGGACAGGAAGAGGGGCCAGTGGAAACGGGAGCGACACTTCCAGCGAATGATTTGTGTCAACAGAGAGAAAAGGCAGCTGAGAAATGTTTATGCACGTGGCAGTGTGAGTGTGAGTATCTATGTGCGACGGATGACGTCGGGGCAATGACGGAGATCAGTAAATGGAAACCACACATAGCACAGTGCCAGCCAAAACAATAGGCACTAAAGGCACTTCAATATCTGCCTATATCATAAAAACAATGAATATTTTCTAAGTTCAATAAAAATGTTAAGAAGAAAAATAACTTTATAACTATGAAAAATTACAGTTCTTTAGTTCGATAAAAAGAATGTCAATTATTAGAAATTCATAAATATTTGTAAAAGTAACACTTTAAAATTCCTTATTTTCAATAATATACCTGCGAATAATTATTAGCCATTTTAAATTTACTATTGCATGATACAACATCACTGATATTTTCAGAAAATATTGTGGGCATAATAATTAAATCGTAAAAATATAATTACAAGGAAAAGCGTATTAAATACACAAAAGAAAATTCCAAATTTCCCAAAACAATCAACAAAAGTTTAAGACAAAGTCAAAATTTAAGCGAAACAAAACTTATAACGACTATTTGCACAAACTTTCCGATATGAAAACATTCATAAATGTCCACTTAAAGTAGTAATTCTCACAGATAATTGCATACAACTGCGGATAACATCTTGATTGCTATTATTTTGTCAGCAAGTGTCCGTGCCACGGACAATTGTAAAATGTCATTGCGGAAATTGTGCGAAGCAATGAAATGAAAAGACAGCAAAAGTCTGATGATGGGCGATAACAAAAAGAGCAGCAGCAAGAACGAAAATGTTGACCAACTGTAACAAATAAAAAAAATAATAACAAACAAACGCTGAGGAACAAAGTTAAGCTCTGCAAATTGTCCCAGTTCCGAGGGCTTAAATGAAAGGTGGATTGTTGTTGCTATTTCCCCGACTGCCATTCAGCAAACTCCCCCTCTGCGAAGGAGGAAATTCTCCTTTGTGAGAGAAATTAAACACAATTTGTGAATGCATTTGTTATTTGTATTAAAGACTTCAGCAATTTGTAGCTCTTACAGTAGCCCAGTTTTTCTCCTCCTCCATCTTCTGCTACTTTTGCTTTTACCAATTTCGCTCCGTTTCGTTATTGTTAATTGAAAAGAAATTACGGCGGCACAATGAAATGAAATTGCTTGACGTTATTTATTTTGTCGACGCTGTCGCTTATTTCAATTACATTTAACACAAAGTAAAAGTATGATATTAAAAAATATACCTATTCGTACAAAGTCACTCACAGCTGTTTGCAAAATAATAGTAGATAAAAAATTGTTCGACAAAGATACGAATTTCATGGGCAATTTATATTTTTTTTAACAATTAAACTTGATGGAACTTTTTAAATCAAACTGTTTTTGTGATTAAAAATACATAATTATTAAATTGTTAATTAGTGTGTAAGGGAACATAAATTATATTTTTGTAATTCAATAATGATTGAAAATTTAAGAAAAGTTATAAAAAAATCTTGTAAATAAATTTTGTTACTTTGGGCACGTTTGTATACCACTAATCGATAAAATTAAAGCAAAACCTTAAACAAAACAGCAACTTTAACACCCTGTAGGAATAAGCATGTGCCAGCCATTTAGTTAGATCGTTATAAATACACATGCGTCTTCGAAAGTGTGCGTGGCCATATCCATATCCATATCCATATAGACACGGCACCCATAACTACCCAGGCATCGATATATCGGGATATCGCTGCCGTTGGTTGCGGTTGAACGTGATTCTCGAAATGTCACGCACACACGACAAAATGAAATGAAAGAAAAGCAACAGCGGTAAATCAATTTGTTTTATTTTTTTCGTTTTGTGGGCGGATGGGGCGGTACATTCATGGAAACGCTTTCGCTTTAGACAGCCACCGATAACATCCATTCATAAAACTTGGCAACCCGAAGCAACCTCTGCCATGGGAACGTGGAACTGATAAGTCGCGAACATCTAGATAGTTTTCATGTAAAAACGCAACTAGGAAAGCATGCAAGCT